TCTCATACTCTGCCTCCTGTTCACCATATGGTATACTTATCTCACATATTATGGAAGTGATGAAGGTAGACCTTCCACCTTTTTCACCTAAGCTTATCTCTATCACTTATGATAAGACTAATTTTACTATGAAGGCGAGTGAAAGCACCAGAGGCACCAGCAAATGCTAAACCACCTTTTGAGCCAGCTGAGGTACAGTCGACTGCTCCTAGCAACCTACAGCAGATTCAGTAAGGGTTGGAAGGCCTAAGAAGCATGATCACAACTATGCAGGAACAAGTTGACAAGAAAAGATAAGTGACCAAGGAGATAGGAACAGATGCAGCTAAGCTAAGGATGGACATTGGAGCTACCAAGAAGCAAGGGATCAAGGCTTTCAGAACATGACAGACATGATAAACAAGCTTTCCAAAGATGTTAATACTTCATATGATTCCATATACACCAAAGTTATCAACACCCTGAAGTACTTTCTAGGGAGAAATTAAGGTTGATTATGTGCTTTGCCAAAAACAATCTTTTGCCATAACTACTATTTTTATTATTAGTTTTTTTGGACTGTATGAAATTACTTGCTACTATGCCTTTGTTGTAGGCATATATCTACTGTTACTACCCTATCTATTTCTCTATGTGGCATTTGTCTTGTATTGTCTTGCATTGTTCTAGCCTTTTTGATTGATGTCAAAGGGGGAGAAGTAGAGAGGAAGAGGCAATGAGTCACCGGGAGAACCACTTCAACAACACAGGGAAGCACGCAAACATACAGAAAAGTATTATTTACATTTTTACTTTTTTTGGTTGTCATCATCAAAAAGGAGGAGATTGTTAAAAGTTTTAATAATGACACATTTATTAATGGTAATACTAATTTCGTGTTAATCTGTGCAGGAAAACAGATAAATGGAAGAGAAAGAGATGATAAGTGCAAAAGGAAAGAAATGCAATTGATATGTCTAAAATCAAGTGACCAGTATAAGAGGAAGAGCTAATTGAGATTCAAATATCCGAGATCACAGGAAAATCAAAGCGTCAATCAGAAAACTCAGAATACTGGAATATATGTCGCCTAAAAGAAAAGATAGAGACATCAACTCTCAATCAACATAATTGTCCAATAATCCCTCAGAAGGATATGGCAAGCACAAGGAAGGAGACCACATTCTGTTATATGAATTCAGTCTTCATCTATTGACTGGATTTAGAGGCATATCTTAGAAAAATACTTGCCTCAATCAAAGAAATATCTCAATCTTGCTCACTATCACTGAAGATCTTGTTGACTTAAAATAACTCAAGACATCAACCACTGCCTATATGAATAAGAACTCGAAGAAGGAGAGAACTGTGCGCAACTTCACATACAAGCTTTCTACATCTTTCTAGTTCTTAGTCAAATATTGTATTCTTGAGTTTACAACTAGTGTCACAAAAGAGAGAAAGAAAAAATAAAACAATCAAGAGGTTGTGTCAAAAGCTTGACAAACATTCGCCTGTATATCGTTGGCGGCGAACGAAGGAAAACCACTACCATTGTAACAAATCATTTTTGAAGATCTAAGAGAACCCTTGTGACCCAAGGGAATTAGATGTAGCTACCACACTGGTACACAAACCAATATAAAACTCTGTGCCTCACTTATTCTGTCTTTTTTAAATTCTCTTCATTGTTATTCTGCTCTAACCTAGTTTCTATAGGAAAAATAGTCGATTAATATCCTAGTTGGTCAACTGATTTTTAAATTTGACAGTATTCACCCCTTACCTCTTATGTTTCAAGCTATTTTATCTTGAGATACAAGTGTAGTGGCATCCGATATGACGACATAACATCTAGCATAAAGGAGGGATAGCATGTGCCTATGGTGTCAAAACCAGTACTATAGTACTGGAATTGTCGAAGTTGATAGTTCCCTTATAACTAAGATCCTAACTAGAATTATAGAATCCGTTTCAGAACCGTAAAGCTTGATGGAGGGCCTATTTCTCTTTCTTGTTTCAATGAATTCAAAATAAAACCATAATAATTCCCACATATTGCAACGACCGGTAGGTCGTTTTGGGTACTTGTCCTAATTTCATCATTCCGAGACCTCTCGTAGCTTTATTTGATGTTTCTTGGTTTGCACGCATATTCCGTTTCGCCGCTTTTCGAAAAGTTTTTATATGAAATTTTGATAATAGAAATTTTGACTAAAAATGAGGCTAGGGTTGACTATGGTCAAAATTCTTGGTAAACGACCCCGGATCAATAATCTGACGATCCCGTTGGGTTCGTATCATGATTTGGACTGGGGAATATGGCCAAAATCAAATTCAGAGGTCCCTAGGTTGATTTCACTTGTTTCGCCAAAAGTTAACAATTTGAATGTTTGAAGATTTACTAGGTTTGGCTGTAGCTTGACTTTATGGTTAAAGGATTCGGATTTTGATTTTGAGACTTTGTATAGGTATGTTTTGCTATTTGGAGCTTGTCTGCAAAATTTGGTATAAATCGGAGTTGGTTTGATAGAATTCTGACACTTGATTGTGATTTTAGAGTTTCTTGAGTTTTCTTTGAAATTTCATGCATTTTGATGTCGATTCGTAGTTCTAGATGTTATTTCGGTGTTTTGATCTCGCGAGCAAGATCATATGATGTTATTACACTTGTGTGCATGTGTTGGGCGTTGTGTGCATGTTTTATTTGGAGCCCGAGTGGCTCGGGTGTGTTTCTGAGGTGCTACATATGAGTTTTAGATGAAATGTTATAGCTGGTGTATTCCTGTTTCTGGTGTTGGTCTCCACATCTCGCATTTGCGAGTTCTGGCTCGAAAATGAGAGCCTTGATTTTGCGATCAAGACATCGCATTTGCGAGCAGGCTCCTGGGCAGGGTGATCTCGCAATTGCGAGGAATGAGTTCGCATTTGCGAACTATCTAAGGCCGTATTTGTGATGCAGTGTTCTGATGTGTGAGCTTCGCATTTTCGAAGTAATTTACCGCATTTGCGAGGGGGGTTGTTCGCATTTTTAAACATGTTGTCGAAATTGCGACTACTGGGCTTCTAAGGCAGGGTTCACACTTGCGACCTTTGTCTCGCATTTGCAAGCATTTATTTGCAAATGCGACAGCTGCAGTTGGGTAAAAGACGAAAAAATCGGTACTTACCTCATTTTACACCATTTCTCAACCTTAAACACTCTAGAGGCGATTTTTCAAGAGATTTTTCTTTCAAAATTATTAGTAAGCAACTTTAATCCATTTCTTTTCAATTACCCATTACTTTTGATGTGCTTTCAACATCAAATCTAGGATTTTCATGGTAGAAATTAGGGATTTGAGTAGAAATTGGAAATTGTATAAAATTGAGATTTAGACCTCAAATTGAGTTCAGATTTAGAAATAAATTACATAACCTGGCTAGGGGGTGAATGGGTAATCGGGTTTTGGTCCGAATCTCGGATTTTTACCAAGCGTGCCCAGGGTTGACTTTTGTTGACTTTTTTCAAATTCATTAGAGATTGAATCTTTTTCACTTGTGGGTAGTTTCTAAAGCCTAATTTGAATTATTTGAACTATTTTGATTAGATTTGATTGGGTTGGGGGGCTAATTATAAAGGAAATGATGCGGTTGTGCCTTGATTTGGTTGCGGAGCGAGGTAAGTGTCGTGGTTAACTTTGACTCGAGGGATTAGGACTTGTTGATCTATTTTCTACGTGTATTATGTGTGAGTACAACGTATATGTGAAGTGACGAGAATATATGCGTTGCCACTGGGTTAAAGCATGTGGGTGCAAATTGCTTCTTTGTGTTGGATTGATTCATTGACTATGTTTTCCATGCTTAGGTTAGATTATTACTTCTTTGATTATTCATCTCGAATTTATTGTTTATTTCAAAGATGTTGGAAATCTTAAAAGTTGAGTTTGTTATCATGGCATTATAATTGAAGTGAAATTGCTTCCCGCCTTGCATTGTTAATTCAAATTTGTATTTTTACTTAATGAGGAAGAGTGAAAAGCACGAAGGGTGTTGTCGTGCCTTATTTTCATACATTATCATCTATTTAATGGTTGTAAGGATTAAAGCACAAAGGGTGATGCCATGAATTTGATTGCTTATCATCATTATCATATCATGTGAGGTTGAGAATATAAGCACAGAGGGTGCTGCCGTGCCATTTTATTTATGATATTACATGGTGAGGACGAGAGTAAAAGCACGAATGGTGATGCCGTACCATCTTTATTACATTGCCTCATTTAATTACTGGATTGGTGATTTACTTGGTTGCAATGTTGCTCATATCGGAACGATATTATTTGGTGATTTCATACTTGTCGCTCTTATAATATTCCCTTTTGCATGTCCCCTCCTAGTTAATATTTTAACTGTTCTACTTGTTATTTTGTTGCTTTATGTATATATTTGCACATGATTTTACGTAGGTGTCTTGTCATAGCTTCTTTCACTACCTCGTCGAGGTTAGGCTCGACACTTACAGAGCACATTGGGTCGGTTGTACTCATGTTATACTTTTGCACGTCTTGCGTAGATACTGGCACTGATCCCAGCAGCGTCTAGTGGTGTTGTGCTCGGATTCAGCTACATTTGGAGACTTGAGGTATAATTGCACAATATCCGCAGCCCTGAAGTCCCCTTCGTTATCTATGCTATTATTTATCTAGTCTCAAAAAGTTGTATTTGCTTCAGACCATACGTGTAGTACTCTAGTTGCTCATGTTTTCGTGACTCCGGATTCTAGGAGATGTTTAGATATCGTCATTAGTACTCTATTGTTCCATCTTAGACTTTTTCGGTTTATTGTTCATTAATGGTTTATTTTTGATTGTTTAAACTGGTAAAAGATCTAGCTAACGTTGGCTTGCCTAGCAAGTGAAATGTTAGGCGGCATCACAGTTCCGTGGGTGGGATTCCGGGTCGTGACACATATATAATTTAATCTTTCCCGGACAACATCCAATATGATCAAACACCCTCAAAATCAGAAGTTAGCATTCAACCACATGTAAAACACCTCTTTCATAATTAATTAGTACAATCAATTATATAATTGGCAAGGGTATTACAACTTTACTTTGATTTATTCTAAGAAATTTTAGTGAATCGAAGAAGATATCTTTAATTCTTCAATTCTTTTTCCTTTTTTTTTTGTGGTATTAATTTTTCAATGCTAGTACTATACAGACTTAGTTGGCGTGCAACATCCTTTCAATTCCTTCCAATTTCTTCAAAAATTATCACTCGACCAAATATTATGAGGCCAAATGTAAGCGTCGCATTTTTAATAGAAATCAAATTCCTCTTTCCTCCTTGATTACTTTCAGCTCATGAATTGAGTGAAGCGTGAATTTCTTCGAGCCTTCTGCCTTTTGTTTCAGGGACCATTTGGTAGATGAAGATCGTAGCAAGTAGGCAAACAAATGCATATAGGAAAAACGTTCCTGCATATAAAGAAAAAAAGAAGAGAAAATGACATTATCCATCGCCTTGTATTTTAAAAAACAAACGTATTTTCTCATACAGTTATGAGTTTATATAATTATCTAATATCTGATGAGCTGAAAGCAACACCTAGTCAATCAAGCCTTCTCTACATCTTAGTACTATCTCAATTTGTATGACACTCTTTCTATTTTAACCGTTTCAAAAAATTTGTTATTGTACAGGCGGATCTAGCCTTAAGCTTGTGGGTTCCCGTGAACCTAGCAGCTTTTGTCCAAACTCTATATTTATATAAGAAAAGGCCTAAAAATGCCACTCAACTAACATAAGTGGCCTATCTATACCATCTGTTAAAAGGTCACCCTATTCATGCCACTAACGTTATACTTTTGAACACTGATCTTATTTGGTCGTGACAAGGAATTAGGGGTTGGGTTAAAAGATGGTTGGATTTTATCGGGTTCGGCATGGATAATTATACATAATCAGGGTTGAAAGAAATGTAGGGTCAAGTAAAGAAGAACCGGTAATATAAAGACACGTGGCAAAGGTGGGGTCGAAAATTTAATTCTTATTATTTAAAAATCAAAAAATGGAACTGTTAGTCGACAATGGCATAAATAGGCCAAAAATATAACGTTAGTGGCATAAATAGGCCAAAAGTATAACGTTAGTGGCATGAATAGGGCGACCTTTTAAGGGATGACATAGATAGGCCATTTATGTTAGTTGAGTGGCATTTTTAGGTTTTTTCCGTATTTATTTTAAGAAATCCGCTTAATATCTATAGATTTGATTGTGAACCCACTAATCCATAAACTTCAAATTTTGGATTCGCTTCTGTAATGTTATTTTACAAGTACCAAGTTTTTAGATTTAAATCAATTTAACTAAGAGAGATTTTCACAAAAGTGCAATCCAACCTACTACGTCTCATTTATATGGTCATGTTTTTAAGTTTTCAGCTACATAGCCCACTATTATTATTATTTTTTGCACGAGTATTTATACACCTAGTATAAAATATTATACAATATTAAAAACACTTAGTATAATATTTTATAATATTGTATATAAAAATTGGATTTTATCTCCTATAAATTTCAACTTACGAAAAATATCATCAAGTTTCAAATATTTAACTACAACTTCAAAATGACATTCTCAATGAGCTTCAATCATCAATTTGTCAAAAATTTCAATAAACCTAAAAATTCCATTTATGAATTTTCAAGCTTTTAAACATCAACGATAGAATTTTAAATTTTCACTTTAATGTTAAATTTGTGATGATAAACATGAACAAAATCAGTTTCTAACACATACTCTTCTTAATACTCTATTAGATGTTTCAAATTTTATACGAAATAGGCAAAATTATATAAGAAAAAGAATATAGGCTAAAATTGGTTGATGAATTTCTGCACTTCTTCGTAGTTGTTTCTTTACCACTAATCAAATGTAAGTTAAATATAATGTTTTCTCTTTCAGTCTAGCTTTTGATCGATTAAGAATTGTAACATCTTACTCAATTTACTACTTAAAATATATAAATCAACTAATATTTTAGACTCCATTTCCAATCTAATGATTTCCCGTTGTAAAAATATAAGAGTGATTTCTTCTTCTTTTTTTCCATTGAAAAGAATTGTGCATTAAACTACTTTTTGTATCCGATAAAACACAAAGAACAATATAGTGTTTCTTTGGTACCTAAACTCATAATAATTGTAATTACGAAAGACTAGTATATTTAATGAAAGCAGCTAGAAATCCTTTTGTTGGTTGAGATATGAATTATTTTGACAGTTTATTACTCTCAAAGAAATTTTAATCAAACAAGAGAATCGATCATTAACTCCTGAAATATAAGTATGTGTTTTTTTTTTTTTTTTTTTATATTTTTGGAAAAGAAACTCAGACAAAGAAATAAGTGTTGAATGGGATTACCATGTGAACTCCACAACATGAGAAAGTTGAAGGTGTAAGAAATAACCCAAGAACCAAACCAATTCATCAATGTCACTAAACCTCCACCTAATCCCTTTACATGTAATGGAAATACCTGCACATATAATAAAAAGGTTGTTAATTAAGACCATATTTCTTTTTCTTTGTATAAAAAGGATAGCTTGCTGATTTTAATTATTACTCCCTCCGATCCACAATAAGTGACCAATTTGCTTTGGGCACACCCATTAAGAAAATACTAAATTCTAGATAAAAATAGTTAGTGTGACTAAACTACTCTTAATTCAATGTTGCAGCATATTTACAGTAGCACTTACTTCTCTTATCAAATGTGAGGAGTAAATACCATTTTAGGGATACGTACATAAGGGTAATTTTGGAAAAATAAATTGAATTTTTTCTTGATTATATAAATGAACACTTATTTTGAACCAAAATAAAAAAGTAAATGCGTCACTTATTATGGACCGGAGGGAGTATAAGATAAAATAACATAAACCTTGATTTCAATTAATGTTACCTCACTCATAATGAGCCAAGGACCTGCCCCCATTCCTATTGAAAAGAAGGCTATGTAGACCTGTACCCGATACAAATTTTAAAATAAACCGAGATGTTCAATTTATTTATTTTGGGTAATTACTTAAGACTAGAATGAAATTTGTATATCAAAGTCTTACCAAAACGCCAAGAATTGCAAGGTTGGGGACTAGAGTTGGTGCCACAGAATGAGCCTATTAGAAAATAAAACAACATTATATACTTATAAAAATAAATAAGTTGAGAGGGGAAATAAAAACTCACGGTAACCATAACATTAATTAACCTTTAAAAAGAATGAAAATGCAATTAGTAGATTCCCCAACAGCAAACCAGACGCAGACATCTGAAAAATAAAGAAATACTATTATTAGTATTAGAAATGGGAGTTTTGGATTCTTAATTAAATTGAACTCAAGGGGGGAGTATGGATTAGGGAGATTTTAATTTTCAACAGCCTTTTTGTCTGTAAATATTTACCATTAGAAGGGGTCTTCTACCAGCTCTATCTATCAAAAGTGCACCCCCTGCAGTGACTCCCACCTGAAAGAAAAATAAACCTACATTTACATTTTTTAGAAAATTATCAAAGAACTTTCATAATTATTTTTAGAAATGAGAGAACAGAAACCTGTAGAACACCAAAAAGTATCGTTCCCAGTCTGGGATTAAAACCTGACATCAAATCATGTGTAATTAGTGGAAGATGGCAACAGCGACCCCACAACAAACAACAATAACAACAATAATATAGTTAAAAGGCAAAATACACAAACGGCTCATTCAAGTTGTCCTCAACGGTCAGCCAGACACCTCAACTGACCCCTCTACCATTTTAACACTTATAGTCAGTAAAAAATAAACCTCATGAACACCCGAGTCCAACAGACCATATGGGTGAGTTACACTCGCCTATGACTTATCAAATTAACCAATAAGAAAATGACACATATAAATTGTACATAAAAATCTGATAAATGTAATTAACAAAAAATAAACACATTTAAAGCAAAAAAGAAAAAAGAAAAAATTTCCTATTAACCTAACGTGAGACTGCCTCCATTCATCTTCTTCTCCCCCACCCCCCACCCACCCAAATATTCCTCATCATCCCCTTTCTACTTTCCCTTTATTTTATCCCAATTTTTTCTTATTATACAAGTAACCAATTAAAGACCCCAACTAACCAATTTCATCCCAACCTTTCTGATCTTTTCCTTGTTGACGAAGCTCGGCAGATCGGGCGACCTCTATCTCTCTACCTTTTGGTCTTCATTCTTCTCTCTCTTATTTCATTGATTCAAAACTTGGATTTTTAATTATTATTCTTTGTAGAGTATTCTAAATTCTTGGGTAAATTTTTCTTGAATTGGTGTCTAGTTGATTTTTTGATTCAAGCAACCGGGTTTTACATCTTTCTAAAATGGATGGATGAAGTAATTCTACTGAGATTTCATTCATGAATTATGAGTTTAACAATTTTTTGGTTAATGATTGGCTTTAATTTGATGAAAATTTTTGTTTGCTAATGTGGGTTTGACAGTCACGGTGGTGGCGAAGGCGGCGATAATGGCCAACTGATTCTGTAATGGTTGGAAGAAGATGTTGGAGTTTTGGAGCCCACTTCAAATTAATTCTAAAAACAAAAAAAACATAATTTGGTATGCAACGCGCGTTTCGGACTGTGTGTCACACGCGAGATGGGATGACTAGGCCGGGTATTTACTTGATACATTTAATAGCTACTTGAAGTGTTAAAATGGTAAAAGGATCTGTTGAGGTGCTCAAATGACCGTTGTGAACAACTTGAAGGGGACATTTATGTATTTTGCCTAGTTAAAACTACAACATACCTGCTGATTTGAAAATTTCAGTAGAATAGAAAACAATTCCGTTAATTCCCACAAACTGCTGGAACGCCATCAACCCAACAGATATCTAAAGGTAGAAATAAAGAAGAGGAAAAATAAGTAATTTTAGCTTTAAAAAACAAAAAAATAATTAAGGGGTTGGGATGCTTACAATAACTGCTCGATAATTGGATCTGTCGAACAAGTTTAGAAAGGTGACTTTGGGGAGCGTTTGAAGAATGGTCAAATACTCCTGTAAGATTAACCAAACACTAAATAGTAAGTCGTTTCATTCATTTTTTATGTTGAACAAAGGATTGAATTGATCATTCATCATTCATTCGTACGTGTTAGTACAATAGCTAGTCTTGTAGTAGTGGAAAAATGGAAAGATGGAGCTAGCTATATAGAGACACATGTATGTATATGTACGTACTTGTATAGTGGACCTTTCATATGAAATGTCAGCATGTTTCCCTCTTAGCTTTCTTAGAGCTGCTTCAAATTCTTCTTCTTCTCCATTCATAGCCTGCTCCAACACACTACTTTCTCTTCATTTCTCCTTTTACTTGTTGAGATGCGAACTAATGCAGGGAAGTAGATAGAGGCATATCTATGATTTACAATCATAATTAACTTCATAATAGATACGAGTGATGACATGTGATGACCCGATAGGTCATCTAGAGCTTTAACCCTTAATTTTGTGTTCCGTAACCGCAAATAGCTCCTTTTAGCCTTTCTCGACTTGCACGTGCAGTCCGTGTCTTTTTTCGGAAGGTTTTTATGTGAAAAATTGATTAAAATGTGATATCGTGCCTTAAAACTCATTTGAGTTGACTTCGGTTATATTTTGAACAAACAGACCCGGATCTATATTTTGATGGCCTAGTGGGTCCGTATCGTGATTTGGGACTTGAGCATATGCCCGTAATCGAATTTGGAGGTCCCTAGCTTGATTTATCGCAATTTGTTGAAAATTAGAAGTTTAAGGGTTTAAAGAAATTTCAAGTTTGACCGAAGTTTGACTTTGTTGCTACCGGATCCGGATTTTGGTTCCAGATCTTGGTATAGCTCATTACGGTAATTAAGACTTTTCTGCAAAATTTGGTGCAAAACGGAGTTGATTTAACGTGATTCAGACGTCCGGTTGTTAAAATGAAAGTTCTTAAGTTTTATTGAAAATTTCATTCGATTTGGTATCCAATTCGTAGTTCTGGGTGTTATGTTGGTCTTCTGATCGCGCAAGCGAGTTCGTATAATATTTTTGGACTTGTGTGCATATTTGGTTTGGAGCCTCGAGGGCCCGGGTGAGTTTCAGATAGGCTACGGGTGTTTCGGACTTAGAAATTCTGGTTTTCTTTAGCTTCTGCTGTCATCTGGTATTTTCTTCTTCGCGATCGCGAAGATACTCCCGCGATCATGAAGAGTAAATTGGGCTGGAGGTGGATTTCCTTAATCGCGAACGCGACAGCTGGGTCGCGAACGCGGAGGAATGGGGGACTTACCCTTCGCTAACGCGACCAGCTTCTCGCGAATGCGTAGGCTTTGGACCTAGGAAGGGGGGTCAGTGCTTTCTTCTACGCGAATACGAGCATTCGCTCGTAAACGCAAAGAACTGGGGGGAGCAGCCTTCGCGGACGTGTAGGCCATTTTGGCTGATGTGCTTCGCGAATGCGGTAGGTCCTTCGCGAACGCGATGAAGACCTGACGCACAGACCTTAAAACATTTCAAAAATGGGATTTCATCATTTTTCACCATCTTTCCATTAAAGCTCGGCCTAGAGGCGATTTTGAAGAGAAAATTTATCACCAATTCATAGGTTAGTATACTTTAACTCATTTTCTTCCATTTCTATCATCACCCATTAATTACTAGCCTTAATCTTTGTTCTTCCATGGTAGACAACTAGGGATTTAGGAAGAATTGGGGAATTTTGCAAATTCGAGATTTAGACCTCAATTTGGGTCGGATTTCGAAACTAATTACATAATCGAGCTCGGGGGTCAATGGGTAAAGGGTTTTTGTCCGAATCTCGGGTTTTGATCAAGCTGGCCTGGGTTTGACATCTTTTGAATTTATGGGAAAAGTATAAAAGTCCTAACTTTATGTAGTGTAATTAATTCTCTTAGCATTATTTGATGTATCGAGTCGATTGTGGTTAGATACGATTGGTTTGGAGGCGGATTCTAGAGGGAAGGCCCCAATAGAGCTTTGAGTTGACTGCTGAGTGAGGTAAGTGTCGTGGTTCATCTTGACTTGAGGGATTAGGACTTGTTTGCCTATTTGCTACATGTTTAAATGTGTGTAAAATGTATATGTGAGGTGAGGAATACTTATGCGTTGTTGTTGGGTTAAAGCATGCTGGTGCGACTTGTTTCCTTATATTTTATTGCCTTCTCTAATTACGATATCCATGCTTAGATTAGTTTATTACTTACTTGATTGTTCTTTCCGTATTTATGAACCAATTGTGATTGTTGAGTATTTTTGAAAGTTGAGGTTTGGTATCTTGGAACCATTATTGACATAAGATTTATTCTTGCTTGTTCTATCTCCCAAAATTTTATATTCATTACTATATGGTAAGGGAGAGTGTTAAAGCACGAAGAGTAATGTCGTGCCGTTTATTGCTGCATTTATTGATTAATACATAGTGAGAAATAGAGTAAAAGACGAAGGGTGATGTCGTGCCATATTTATCGTTTCATGGAGAGGTTGAGAGTAAAAGAACGAAGAGTGATGCCATGCCATATTTATCATTTCATGGTGAGGTTGAGTAAAAGCACGATGGGTGATGCCATGCCGTCTTTATTCGTTATGTTTATCCCTTTTCATTGTTGATGATTTATTTGGCTATCTTATGTTGTCATTCCTATTGTGGTTATCGTATCTTGTTCCCCTTTCGCATGCCCTCTCCCAATTTTACATATTAAATCTTTATGTGTTACTATGTTGCACATATATCTACGTTTATACATGTTAAAGTATGTGAGTGTCCTGTCATAGCCTCGTCACTACCTCGTCGAGGTTAGGCTCGGCACTTACGGAGTACATTGTATCGGTTGTACTCATACTACACTCTGCACTTCTTGTGTAGATTTGGGTACTGGTCCCAACTGTACGTGAGGTTCATCAGCTCGGATTAGCACATTTGGAGACTCGAGGTAGATCTGCTGGCGTCCGCAGACCTTGAAGTCCCATTCCTCTTTCCTTTTTTACTATTCATTTCATTCAAAATAGTTGTATTTATTTCAGACTCTATTTGTAGAACTTCTAGTAGCTCGTGCACTTGTGACTCCACATCCGGGATTGTACTTAGATATTTTTGGATATTTTTCCTTTTCGCACATCATTCCATTTTTATTTCAGTTTAAATGGATTTTTAATTACTTGAATCATTTAAATGGAATATGATTTACTCTAACGTTGGCTTGCCTAGCGAGTGAAATGTTAGGCGCCATCACAGTCCCGAAGGTGGGAATTTTCGGGTCGTGACAAGTTGGTATCAGAGCACTAGGTTGCCTAGGTCTCACGAGTCATGAACATGCTTAGTAGAGTTTGGAGAATCGGTACGGAGACGTCTGTACTTATCTTCCAGAGGCTATGGAGTTTAGGAACAATTTCACTTTTACTCTATTCTGCCGTGCGATTTTATTCTATCATTGATTATTTAACTCTTCTATTCTTGTTCTCTCGCAGATGGAAAGAACACATACTGCATCTACAGCTGGACAGCAGTCGGAGCCCACAGTGGCAGCTCTTACGAGGGGCAGAGGTCGAGGCCTAGGTCGCACCAAAGGCCAAGGTCGCGCCAGAGGCCGAGGCAGAGGCAAAGGCAGAGCTCAGCTTAGAGCTCAAGCAACAACACCAGTAGTAGAGCCTCAGGTAGATTTTGATGGGATGTTCCAGCTTAGACTATACCTGTTGGACCGTCTCAGGTTCCGGAGGGGTTCATCGCCACACCAGTGCTTCAGGATGCTCTAGTCCATTTGGTGGGCCTTATAGAGAGTGTGGCCTATGCCGGTACATTTCCAGTGGCACCAATCGTCTCTCAGGCTGGGAGAGGAGCACAGACATCCGCTACTCACACTCCAGAGCAGATAGCTCCCCAGTATCAGACTCCAGCAGTCTTACCAGTTGGGGTAGTTCAGCCAGTTGTTGCGGCACAGGCCCGTGACAGGCCCGCCATGTCTTGTGAGGCCCTATTGAGATTGGACAAGTTTACTAAGCGCTTTCCAGTTAACTTCAGTGGTGCATCTTCTGAGGACCCACAGGACTATCTTGATCGTTGCTATGAGGTGCTGCGGAACATGGGTATAGTTGAGACCAAAGGGGTCGATTTTGCTATGTTTCAGATTACGGGTTTCGCCAAGAGGTGGTGGAGAGATTATATGTTGACCATACCAGCTGGGTCGCCTGCACTTACTTGGGACCAGTTCTCACAACTATTTCTAGAGAAGTTCCTCCCTATCACACTAAGAGAGGATTACCGCAGGTAGTTTGAGCATCTCCAGCAGGGCAGTATGACTGTTACACAGTACGAGACCCGTTTTGTGGATCTAGCTCGTCATGCCCTTGTCTTGCTTCCTACTGAGAGGGAGAGGAGGTTTAATGATGGACTCACTTACACTATCAGGCTACAGATGGCCAAAGGAGTCCGGGGGTGATATTTCCTTTCAGACGGCTGCAAATGTTGCTAAGCGGATCGAGATGGTGTGAGGGGGAAGGGTTCTAATAAGAGACGACGTCATTTCGATGGGTTTAGTGGTGCCTTTTCTGGAGGCAGGGGTAATATGTATCTTTATAATTCTTTTCTTGTTCAACTATGTGCTTATCTTAGTTAATTGAAGGGCCCTCAATTAATTGTGCCCATTTGGTGTGTATTGCATGAGAAAGAACATATTTAGGTTGTTGTTGAACGATATCACTCCTTGGTATTTGAGAGATTAATTCTTTGGGTTTAAAAGAAGGTTTTAAAATTACGAAACTTTAACGTGATTAGTGCGAGTTGTTAAAATAGCTTACTAGAGTAGTTCGAGAGAATACATCTAGTATAATATTGTGATTGATCGACAGATGACTGCATTAAGTTTAGTGCTCACAATCCATAGAGAATAATTTGCGAAGTTATAGCTAACACAGCCAAAAAGAATTTGACAATTAAGGAAGCCTAGACCTCCTTAATCTTGACAACAACTCTTCGTCTAATTTATTGCTAATTTCCCGCATTATATTAGCTGAAAGTACTAGTTTAAATCTCAGATTATTATTTGATAATTCGGAAAGTTGATTCACTTGACTCTTGGCAATAGTGAAGATTATAATAGATAGGTTAGTTTTCTGAAGATTTCGACTCTAGACTATAAGTTGAATTATATTTGCAAGGATCGCTTAGTCCTTTTTATAGACATAATTTGGCATGATCACCTTGCCTAGTAGTATATTCAGTAATAATAATAATAATAATAATAATGATGATGATGATGATGATGATGATAATAATAATAATAATAATAATAATAATAAATAATAATAATAATAATAATAGTAGTAAAAGAAGAAGTCTCTACCAAGTCTAAAATATATTCTCAACTATAGATTTCACTATTAACATTAAAGAAAAAAGATTCAATTCTTTCTCCAATAAAAAGAAATAACAATGTAGAACGTTTAAATGTAAACAGGCACAGAAAAAATATTACCAGCCATCTTGGAGACTCGGGGATGAAGAAGAGACCCAAAAACAGCAGGCCACATGGTACAACTCCTGAAAAATTATTAAGAAATTTAAGATTTTTAAAAAAAAGGATGGTACAAAGAGCATTGCAGATTATCGAGGATGATAACATTACCTAGTAAAGCTAGAATCCTCCACCCGACGAAGGCACCAATCACGTAGACGGCGGATAAACCAATTACAATTGAGAGCTACCGATTGAGGAAAAGAAAAGAAGAAGAAACTTTAATTTAGTTATTACTCAGATTTATTTATTAATAGTAGAAAATGTCATAAATACATTTTTATGTTTTCTCTCAATTTTTTTTTTCATAATAAACAAAAGAGTCGGCGTGTTGGTTAAAGTTTATTACGTTCATGGTGGATTTCGTTCCTATTTTTGGGTGACGGAAACTATTTACCCACAATCGATATTTTCACCAAATGCATTAGGTTGTCATGGTTAAAAAGTATGTAAATAAAAATATAAATAAATCACCTTTAAGTAATAATAGTATATGTAAAAGACATGGGCTATCCGGTGCGAATCCGAATATAATCGAATTTCAATGCGGATATCGGACACCGGGTGAAAAATAAAATAAAAAATATATAAAAAAACACATGTTATATATTCATTAATTTAGTATTTTTGCGTAAGTTTGAGTCAAAAACCATGAGACCAATATTATAAATTAAAGGGAAAAGCGCTTAAACTACCCCATTGTTTGATAAATGGTTTACTTATAGCCTCTGTCCATCTATTAGTCCAAAAATACACATTCCGTCCATCTATTAGTCCAAAAGTACATACAATGTTAATTTTATTAATTAAGATATCCCTACGTTTAACGGCAGACTAGCTGGACCTTTAAATTAATGTGTTGACGTCTTTTTATTGGGCCACATGACACTCTTGTCCAAACACGAATCTGAGTAAAACTAAAAAAGCTAGCATCAATTGTTTCAACATTTTCATTATCTGATGCGTTCAAATTCGGGTTTAGCTGAATTGGATAGAACCCAAAACTAAAAATCAATTCGGGAAAGCAAAATCAGAGAATTCAATTCTTTATTTTGTTTATTTTACTTTTATGTTAATTTATATAAACAAATAGTTGCATGAGGAATGGGCAAAAACAGGGATGTGAGATTTCATCGTTAAGAAACTAAATAAACACTTTTGTCATCGTTTACCGGAGATTTGGGCTGTTGTTGAAGGAAAATTCGAGGAATCCTCCGATGGGTTAACCATTTGAACTTGTAGAGAGAAAAAAAAAGATTTTAAAGAGAGAAAGACACAATGTTTCAGATAATAGTAAGATTTTTAATACATATTTTAATACGGATACTCTATCTGCTACTAATTTCTTATTTATTAAGAAAGGGTCATGGTCATACAGACATTTTGCTCTTTTTTCGCATTTTTTTGACTCCCCTTCCTCAAGTGGAGAAACGGATTCGTCCAGTTCTACTACTACTATAATTATAGGATCATCCCATACAAATTCACTTCCAGTTAGGCAGGATAATCCGGCACCCCCCTTCTCTCCAATTCTCATTTTCTTTGGGGTCGTCAGTTCCCAGAGCTTGAGGATCTGGAGATAGAAATTTAGTCCATATATCTACTTGTAACTCAAAGCTCTTCAAGTATCAAACTAAATTTATGATTTCAGTGCTTTATGCCCTCATCTTTTGTACTACAATCTGTTCGCGAGGATCTTGGAAGTGGCGAAGAAGAAAAGATACGAGTGAGGAAAAGGGTAGACCATAGAAGCCATGGAAGTATGAAATAGAGCAGGAAGAAGAAGCCGGAAAGGTTTTTTTTAACCCGAATTGTAAAGCAATTAGGGCATGTTCGGTTTATGGATAGGTACTAAACCCATATGTGCTGTCTGACCCAAAATGCCACGTGGCCCAATAAAAATATGCCACCTCATTAAATAGAAGCTCCACAGGTTCTGCCGTTAGTCGCGGGGTAATTTTGTTAATAGAATTAACGTCGTGTGCTTTTTTGGACGAATAGCTGGACGGAGGAAAACTTTAAACCATTTAGTAAATGATAGGGGTAGTTTTGACCCTTTCCGTAAATTAAAAAAATCTCCTTACCCAGCCATTGATTAAAAATTAAAAAATCTCCTTATCCCGACATTATTTTGGATCTCAATTTGTTAAAAAATTCCTATTTTGGTACCAGTTTTATTTAACCTACAGTTAGTAAAATTCCTATTATCCAGAATCATGATGGATAGATTCTGGAGCCATCCGCCATGTTTGTGCTAACAAGGAGTTATTTTCTTCTTATGCCCCCGCAGGACCCGACGAGACAATTTCATGGGAAATTCGTCTACGGCGAAAATTGAAGGAGTTGGCAAGATTGCGTTGAAGATGACGTCGGGAAAAATAGTGACTCTAAACCAAGTTCTCCATGTTCCAGAAATTCGCAAGAATCTTGTGTCTACCTCACTTCTTGTCAAGAATGGATTCAAATGTATTTTTGTTTCTAATAGTGTTGTACTAAGTAAGAATGATATGTATGTAGGAAAAGGTTACCTGAATGAGGGCCTTTTTAAGCTAAATGTAATAGAAGTTCCTATCAATAAAGTTAATGCCTCTTCTTACTTACTTGAGTCAAACACTTTATGGCATTCACGCTTAGGTCACGTCAACTTCAAAACATTGCGAAAAATGATAAATTTAGAAGTATTGCCAAAATTTGATTGCATTAATTCCAAATGTCAAATATGTGTGGAATCAAAGTATGCTAAGCATCCTTATAAGTCCGTTGAAAGGAATTCAAGTCCTTTAGACTTAATTCAGACAGATATTTGTGACATGAATTCAACACCATCTCGCGGTGGGAAAAATTATTTTATTACTTTTATTGACGATAGCACGAGATATTGCTATGTTTATTTACTTAATAGTAAAGATGAGGCAATTGATGCTTTCAAGTAATACAAGAGTGAAGTTGAAACACAACTAAACAAAAAGATCAAAATGATAAGAAGTGATAGGGGTGGCGAATATGAATCTCCTTTTGAAGAAGTATGTTTGGAAAATGGCATTATTCACCAAACAACTGCCCCTTATTCTCCACAATCTAATGGAATTGCGGAGAGAAAGAATCGAACGTTGAAAGAGATGATGAATGCGTTGTTGATAAGTTCTGGTTTACCACATAACTTGTGGGGGGAAGCTATACTTAAGCTAACCGAATAATCAACCGTGTACCTCATAGTAAAACACAGTCCATTCCCTATGAAAAATGGAAAGGAAGGAAGCCCAGCTTGAAATACTTCAAAGTGTGGGGGTGTTTAGCTAAGGTACAAGTTCCTAAACCTAAAAGGGTTAAGATAGGTCCAAAAATGGTTGATTGTGTATTTATTGGATATGTAACCAATAGCACGGCATATCGTTTTCTGGTTCATAAGTCAGAAAATCCTGAGATTCACGTTAATACGATAATAGAATCAGATAATGCTGAATTCTTTGAAACTATTTATCCTTATAAAAAGGAAAGTGAAGTGACCTACCAAAGGTCAAAACGACCTCGGGAGGAAATAACAGATGGTATGCCTAATGAGGAAAATCCGAGAAGAAGTAAATGTCAACGGACTTCTACTTCATTCGGTCCAGATTTTCTGACTTTCCTGCTAGAAAATGAGCCTCGTACCTTCAAGGAAGCAATGTCTTCCTCAGAAGCACAATATTGGAAAGAAGCTGTCAATAGTGAAATAGAATCCATATTGAGCAACCATACATGGGAATTGGTTGATCTTCCTCCAGGTAACAAAACATTGGGTTCTAAATGGATTTTCAAGAAGAAAATGAAAGACGATGGTACTATTGACAAATACAAGGCAAGACTTGTTGTCAAAGGATTTAGACAGCGAGAAGGTCTTGACTATTTTGACACATACTCGCCGGTAACAAGAATTACATCCATTCGGATGCTAATAGCGTTAGCCGCCTTGTATGATCTTCAAATCCATCAAATGGATGTAAAAACAGCCTTCTTAAATGGTGATCTAGAGGAAGAAATTTACATGGACCAACCTGAAGGGTTTGTGGTTCCGGGAAAAGAAAAGAAGGTGTGTCGTCTTGTTAAGTCTCTTTATGGACTAAAACAAGCACCCAAGCAATGGCATGCGAAATTTGACCAAACAATGTTGTCAAATGGCTTTAAGATTAATGAATGTGATAAATGTGTTTACATTAAGAACGTTCCAAATCATATAGTCATTGTTTGCTTATATGTTGATGATATGCTAATAATGAGCAAAGACATTGCCGACATTCAAGCTACTAAGCGTATGCTTGCTAGTAAGTTTGATATGAAAGACTTAGGAGTTGCCGATGTAATTCTAGGAATTAAAATCCAGAGGACTCCTCAGGGTCTAGCTTTGTCTCAATCACATTACGTGAAAATGGTACTTGAAAAATTCAAACACTTGGAATTTAGAAGTGCAAGAACTCCAATTGACTTAAATCATCATCTTATAAAGAATAAAGGTGAAAGTACGTCTCAATTGGAGTATGCTCGTGTGTTGGGAAGCTTAATGTACATCATGAACTGTACACGACCTGATATAGCTTGTGCGATAAGTAAACTTAGTCGATTCACAAGTAATCCCAACAAACATCAATGGGTAGCAATGAAACGAGTTCTGGGATATTTGGAATATACCCAAGACTACGCTTTGCACTACAATAAATATCCTGCGGTTATCGAAGGATATAGTGATGCAAATTGGATAACCGGCTCAACAGAAACAAAGTCCACAAGTGGATATGTTTTTACTGTTGGTGGAGGAGCAGTATCTTGGAAGTCTTCCAAACAAACGTGCATCGCTCGCTCTACAATGGAATCAGAGTTTATAGCTTTGGATAAAGCCGGTGAAGAAGCTGAATAGCTTCAAAATTTCTTAGAAGACATTCCGTTCTGGCCAAAACCTTTGGCTCCTATTTGCATACATTGCGATAGTGAGGCTGCAATAGGACGGGCAGGGAGCGTTATGTATAACGGAAAGTCTCGTCATATACGACGAATACATAACACCGTTAGACAACTACTTTCTAGTGGAATTATCACTATTGATTATGTAAGATCAAAGGATAATGTGGCAGATCCGCTTACAAAAGGCTTAACTAGAGAGGGAGTTGAGAAATCATCTAAGGGAATGGGACTATGGCCGAGGACAAGTCAACATGGCGGTAACTCTACCTAGAATTTTGGATGTTCCGAGATCTAGGTTCAAGGAGCACAAACAAAGTTGTGATTGACCGGTTCAACATTGTCAAAGTAAAATCTTTGGTCCCTTCTCGTGATGAAGACAATGTTCAGTAACAAGGATAGAACTTTACACGTTCTTTAATGATTACCTAAGTTTGATGTGGTATTTATCAAAGAGTGTCAATCTAAAGGATTACACGTTTAGGAATCAGCTATGTAAGTGTGAAGTGGAAGCCGCTTCAATGAGAATTTTGTAAGGCCAATTCTCTACACACTTATGAAACCAGGCGGTGTTCATGGCTGAAACGAACACAACAATGAGAACCAAGACGGTTAAGGGTTGGTTGTGTGACATATGGTTGTCTAGGTATACACTAAAGTTCGACGGTTCAAAGATATTAAATCTACCGATTGAACGAGTATATCCGACATATGTTCACTACGAAAAGTTCAAAGGGAAACCTACTTATCCAGATGCGATTAATCCTTACTTGCAAATCACACAACTTTCATCTATGATCATTCTTGTTACAGCCATTCCCATTCATGTGGGGGATTGTTGGACTTTAAAGGCATTGGGCTTCAAAGACTTTAAGCATTGGACTTTAAAGTCTAAGAGTGTGAATTGAAAATGGTGGGAAATAAAATGGAGGAAAATGAAAATTTGAATAAAGTGAGCTTTTGACTTGCACTTTGTCCCTCATTGGTGAGGGACAACTACATTTGTGTGCTTATATATAGAATCACTTCTTAAAGCTCTTAAAAAGGAGTTGAAGAGAATGAACCCTCGCGCCGTCGTCGTCGCTCGCTCGGCTCGGCTTCGGCTTCGGAATATTCAGAAGGATAGTCTGGCCGCGGTCTTGGCGTAACCGCGGTAGGACCGCGCCAGAACACTGCTGCAGATTCAAAAGGCTAGTTTGGCCGCGGTCCTGGCGTAACCACGGTAGGACCGCGACAGGACGCGTAAACTTCTGAACAGACACCTTTTCCAGAACAAACATCACACTTCTTCCAATAATTGCCTATAAATTCTGAGGCATAGCTTCGTTTTTAATACACCAAAAATATTACAGAACTTCCTTCTTTCTGAAAATACTGCATTCTAATTCGCAGTCTCTCTCTCTCAAATTCGTAAGTGAGATTTTGCTCCGTTCTTTGAGTTCGTTGGTATCCTGCAGTTTGTATTGCCACTGTTACAGGAAGGTTTATTCCGTTTCATCCTGGGAGGATTTAATCCATTACCTTGGCAACTTGTGAGGGAGTTAAAATTCCTTAAGGACGCACAAGCAAATTGTGGACTCGGAATATTTCTTATTCTTTACTGTTTTCAAGTTTCTTTTATTCTTCTAACAGTTTTCTGATTTTGTGTTTTAACACAGTAGCGAATAACAGTTTTGGATGGAGAAAAATGGCAGAGAATAGAGAAAAAGGAGAGGAGAGAACAAAGAAAAAAGTTGTAACTGAATTCTCTAATTTAAGGCGCTAATAATGGATTGTATATGCATTGTATGAAAACGATAGTTATAGCGGGTAATATACAAATTTAGGACTACCTTGGTAAATAAATTTGAAAATATTATATAGGAACGAAAAACTCCCTAAATATAAATCCAACTGTTCACTTCTCATTTTTCAATCTTTCCTCGATAGCTAAAAAGACAATTTACAATAAATAAAAGAAACAGAATCAGAAAAAATTCTTTATACCTGATTAGTAGAGGATAGTGCCCCTCGCAATTTATTTGGCGATATCTCTCCAACGAACATAGGAACCTAAATGAAGGTTCACGTGCAATAAATTAATGGAGGTAATTCAAATTCATAAATAGTACAAATTGATATTTTCGTTGTAATTTGGGTGCAATGCCTATTTCTTTGTTAATTATGTGTGACTAGGAATATCCAAGAAGTAAACAACAAGGAAGAATTTAAAGCGTACCACGTACGAAATAATGCCAATGCTATAACCTGACAAAAATCTCCCCAAATATAGCACCATCGGTTCCTACAATTATGAAATTAGCGTTGCTACAGTTAGACCTCAATTCTTCTGTTCAGTTCATAAAAGGGAATAAAAGTAATAAAACTGACATTTAAAAATAGATTTACATTAAATATACAAAATCAAGAAAAAGTACAAATTATCTAGTATTTAGGCATTCTAAAATATGCAGATAAATAAGATCGTAATTCAACAAATTCTTAATTATAGAATAACATATTTATATAAATTATAATCAAATATTTAAAAGAAAATCTAAAAATAAAATATTTTAAGCGTAAAGAACGAAGAATTTAGAATAAAGTGCCAACATGATATTTTTAAGGCGTACAAAATGAATAGTTCAAGACATAAATATAAATTATTCACCTATTGAGGTGTTAGTAGGATTTTACCATTCCACCACGACACGTTAAAAGACATAAGCAGGATATTGTATAGAGGATACAAACCTTAGCAAGGTAGATTGCTAACCATCCAGCAGAGCATATTACAGATGATAGCCTCATGGCCTGATCAACATTCAAAGCAAAACAATTTAGGCAGGATAGTGATAATGCCCAGATTACTTTTATCTCGTTTGAACAAAGTACAAACATTAATTATATTTAATAATTAATAATAATAATACACAATCTAATAGAACACCTCTAATACGTGTTGAGTTCTTTTCTGGTGAACTTTCCTCTAATACAATATATCCAGATGGTTGCCACTTGTACAACAAAAATCTTGACAAATTAAATAACAACCTAGCTCATGTATAATTAGTTAATTCCTTCGTCCCCATTTGTTTGGTACAATTCGAATTTCTAGGATCAAACTTCTCAACTTTGATCGTGAATTCGGACACAATCTTTAAGTTTTTGAAATAAAATTTACATATTTAGAGATAACAAACATACAAAGTACTATAGTGACAGTAATTAATAATTCAAAATATTTTAAGGCATATGAAAAAATCGTGACCAAAGAAAAACTCGTTTGACTCTCGAAATTCAAACTTTATCAAACAAATTTGGACAGAGGGAGTATTAGTTTCTCCATCCCAATTTACGTTGTGGTGTTTCAATGGACACGAAATTTAAGGAAAAAGAAACTTTTAAAGCTTGTGGTCTAAAATAAGTTATAGATATTTGTGTGATTATAAATCATTTCATTATTGATAAAAATAAGAAGTTTATACTCCGTTCGATTCAGAATAAGTGACCAATTTACTTTTGGCACACTCATTAAGGAAATACTAAATTCTAGACGAAAATAGTTAGTGTGCCTAAACTACCCTTCATTAAATGTTGCACCATAGTTATAGTAGTACTTCTCTTCTCAAATGTGAGGAGTAAATGACTTTTTAGGGATACGTCCATAAGGATAATTTTAGAAAAACAAATTGAATATTTTCTTGATTATATAAATGAACACTTATTTTGGACCAAAATAAAAAAGCAAATTGGTCACTTATTGTGGACCGGAGGAAGTAGTTAAATTACTTGTAAATGTAAACATTAGAGAGGAACATTTAGGTTAAACCAAAGCTAAACCATCAAGAATTAACATTGTAGGTAATGATCTAACACCCTAAGTAGAGGGAAGTTGAACAAGGAGTATATTAGTATTGTTGCAATACAAATTCTTACTCCTTTGCGGCCTAGAAGATCTGCAATCCGTCCCGCAGTGATTGCACCAAGCATTGCACCAATTGTTAATATTGACCCAAATACTGAATACTGCATTAATGACAAAACTTTAGATGAAGAATTAAAGATAACATTTAATTATATGCAAATTCACCACTTCGATCTCTTAATTTATTGGACTAATTATCTCTAAGAAACTAGAGACACAAACACACTGCACATAGCAATCACAAAAAGAAATTCGGTCTGCTACCACCCGGAAGATGAAATGAACGAGCCATGCAGGAGGAGAATCTATTCAAACAAAGTACTAGCAGGTCCCAATACGAATCGACAAACAATACGAACACAACAGACTTTAGTAATCTTAGTCTACAAGATGTTAAACAAAAAATATGAAATTGTTGTGTTGCAAGACGTACGAACTTCTACAACTATGGAACTTATGTTGGATTTTCTCTAAAGGGTGTGAATGGGAAATGAAAGAGGCCAGCACCCGTTCATTATCTATAAATTTAGAGACTTGACCTTATTTTTACGTACAGAAAAATCTAAAAAACTTCTCATCTCTTCTCTACATTGTTGCACTGTTTTTCCAAAACAAACATACTAGTGTCAAGTGTGATTTGTTCCGTTAATTGTTGAGTTCGCTGAAGTTTTGTAATTTTGATTGTCGGTATTATAGAATAGTTTTTTGGTTCTATCCTGGGAGGAACTAATCCATAACCTTAGGCAACATTGAGGGGATTAAATTCCTTAATTAAGGACACACAAGCAACTTCTGGCTCGAAAATTATTTTAGCTTTATTGAACTGACAATTCTTTACTTCTCTAATTTTCTGGTTTTCGAATACAGATTTCTGACCATCTTAAAGAACTTAAAGAGAATATTTGTTTTCATCATTGATAGAAAATCAGAAAGTTGGTGGTTTTGTAAAAAGTTGTAGAGAAGTTCGGTTTCACAAATTGGGATTTCTGTGGGAGATTTGACAATTGATGTCGTCTCAGGAAATGTCACTACAAGCAGATATTACTAGACGCTGCTTGTTGATATTAGTTTCAAGGAATTTACCATTCTGCGCACATCGAATTCGTGGTTGGAAATTTGTTTGGACGACGCAATACCACTGAAAAGGAAAAATAAATGCTCTTATCTTTTGAGATATCTCATCACTGGTTTAGACGAACTATTGGTTTGGGTGCCATCATGGCTCCGATAAATTGGGTCCTGACATATGTTCCGAAGAAGGCAAAGACTGGTAGGATTGGACAATTACCTATTAACTTGTTGGCAATCTCAATAATTGAATATTGTGATACAGATTATGTTGGTAACAATGATATTCGAACATCAACCACATGATATCTCTTCATTTTTGTACACGATCAAAATCGGGCTTGCCGGATATTGTGCGACTAAGCGAGGTCGGGACGGAATATCAAGGCCCGGCCCCAGTTATATCGGAGCTTGGTACGGAGACAAATTGATAAGCTCGTGGATCAACGGCCGATGAAGATCGAGGTCGGCCGTGACCGAGACCAAAGCAAGAAAGAGATCGAACAAGATTGAAGAAGGCCTGCTATGTCAAATAACAGAAAGCTGAGATATTGGTAATTAGGCAAGGATCATGGCAGAAATCTCGGCACATGTCGAGTTAGGATCGGACATTTAGTCTATCATGGGATTTACTTTTGTAATTAGAATTGTACCATAAATAGGATTCCTATACTATATAAAGAGGGTCCTAACCATTTGTAATCATCTTACATTCACGCATACCAAAGAATTATATATCATGCTTTTATATCTTGCAAGCTCTGTTGTCCATTTCATACTTTCAATAGCTTATCCAGTTGGTTCGAGGGCAATTAGCTCAAGGGCCATAATTGTTCATCACATTGATTTGCTTTGTTTTACTGTTAATTCCTAGCATTAATTCTTATATGTATCAGTTTGTGCCAAGTGAAATCACATATCCTTAAAATCACTTATAAGTTTAATTGTTATCCGATTTTTAGGGTAAACAGTTTGGCACCCACCGTTGGGCTAACGATAATAGTGATTGCCTGGTACAATTTTCGTAACACACATTATTTTATGCTGTTCTTTGAAGTATCTTTGATTTCAGGATCAACATGTCAAACTCCCAAGTAGCACCCACACACACAGACAACAGCCTTGGTCTTTATGGCGAGAACGGAAACATAGCCGCCTTAGGAAACGGAGTACCTCCAGTTATACCCGATGGAGCTCCGACCGTGGACCGAATCGACGTCAGTTCCCATTTTGCCATTAATGAGAACTTGGGCGTCGACCCTGAGAATAGCGTCTGAAGAGATGCTCGAACAGCCGATCAGAACGCACAGAGCAGTGAAGAAGGCGGAATTAGCCTTCGAATGATATTCGAGATGTTGCAGATTCAGCAAGCTGCAATAGCACAACTGCAAAATCAGAATCGTGCACCAAGCAGGATCGAGCTCGAGCCATCACAAGAAGTTGTTCATAGAGCTGAATCGGTGCCAAAGAGATCGAATGAAGGAGAATCAGAGGCTAATCCCGCTATCGTAAAAATGCTCGAGGAACTAACAAAGCGAATCGAGACAAGGGAAAAGAAGATCGAGGAAAATGATAAGAAGGTGGAAACTTATAACTCTAGGGTCGACCTGATTCTGGGGGCACCACCGGTATTGAAAGAAATTAATTCCAAAAGGTTTGTCCAAAAACCTTACCCCCCGAGTGCGGCTCCGAAGCCAATCCAAAAGAAGTTCCGTATGCCTGAGATACCAAAGTGCAACAGGACGACAGATCCAAACGAACACGTCACCTCATATACGTGCGCCATTAAGGGAAATGACTTGGAAGATGAGGAGATTGAATCCGTGTTGCTGAAGAAATTCGGAGAAACTCTATCAAAGGTTGCCATGATATGGTACCATAATTTACCACCTAATTCTATTGATTCATTTGCTATGCTTGCAGATTCTTTTATGAAGGAGCACGCTGGAGCATTTAAGGTTGCAACTAGAAAGTCGGACCTATTCAAAGTAAGGCAAAGGACAACGAGATGCTCAGGGAATTTGTATCTCGATTTTAAGTGCTCAGGGAATTCATATCTCGATTTCAAATGGAACGAATGGATATGCCACCGATCACCGACGATTGGGCCGTTCAAGCCTTCACTAAAGGCCTCAACAAATGGAGTTCCATAGCTTCGCAACAATTAAAGGAGAATTTGATCGAATATCTAGCTGTCACTTGGTCCGATGTGCATAATCGATATCAATCGAAGATTAGGGTCGAAGACGATCAACTGGGGCTCCAATTGGTTCGATTTATCCCAAAAGGCCCGCGGACACAGTTAAAAGGGATGTCGATCGGGAACCACGATCAAGCAGAGACTGATATCAGCCATACGGGAGAGATCGGAGAAATAACGGGTCTGGACAAAACCCCGTTCAGAACGATAGAAGGAATGATCAGAGACAAAGCTCCGAGGGCTCATGAGCAAGAGTGGTTTCGATAGGGATGCCGGGTTCAAAGAAGCACCTCGACTATCAGAATATAACTTCAGCGTAGATGCTTCTGCCATAGTATCGGCCATTGGGCGTATCAAAGGTACCAAGTGGCCTCGACCTCTGCAGACCGATCCGGCCCAGAGAAATCCAAACCAAATATGCAAGTATCATGGCACCCATGGCCATAAAACAGAAGGTTGCATACAACTAAGGGAGGAAGTAGCCCGTTTGTTCAACAAGGGGCACCTTCGAGAATTCTTAAGTGATCGGACCAAAAACCACTTCAAAAATAGGGATTCAAATAGATATAACGAGCAAGAAGAGCCACAGCATGTAATTCACATGATCGTTGGAGGGTTTGATATTCCTCAAGGACCGATATTCAAAAGCACCAAGGTGACAATCACAAGGGAAAAACGGACTCGGGACTACTTACCGAAAGAGACCTTGTCTTTCAACGACGAGGATGCAGAAGGGATCGAACAACCTCACAACGATGCACTGGTAATATCTATCCTTATGAATAAAATTCAAGCTAAATGTGTGTTGATTGATCCAGGTAGCTCGGCCAATATTATTCGATCAAGGGTCGTAGAGCAACTTGGCCTACTACACTACTAAAAAATCTAGTTTTAGCGACGAAAAAATTCTGTAGCTAAATAGAGAAATCCGTTATTAATCTCATTTAGCGACGGATTAGCGACAGATTATCAAGAAATTCTGCTAGCTACGGGCGATTTAACGAAATATTAGCGACGATGTTCGTTGCTAATTCCAGTTTTTAAGTGGTGTTAAATCAAATTGTGCCCGCAGTTTGAGTGCTTAACGACTTCAACTTGGCAAGTGAAATCGCCAAAGGGAAAATTATCTTGCCGGTGAACGTGTCCAGAACCATACAGGAAATGAAGTTCCATGTAATCGAGGGTGACATGAGGTACAACGCCCTGCTCGGGAGGCCTTGGATCCATATCACGAGGGCAGTACCCTCGACCCTCCACCTAGTTCTAAAGTTCCCGACATCTGAAAGAATCAAAACGGTAGCCGCCAAGGAGATGTTCGCAATCGATGATGTGATACCAGTGTCAACACTTTCGTCAGCAAAGGGATCGAATTCAAAGGGAAAACGGGAAGTCAAATAGCAACCACGTCACCAGCCTCGGCCCGATCGGAGGAGCAAGAAACTTTCGAGGATGATGATTATATGATACCTCGAACCTTCATAATCCTCGATGATTCTGATGCAATAAAGTCGACGGTCGAAGAGCTGGAACAAGTCATACTGATCGAACATTTGCCCGATCGAAAGGTATACCTAGGCACGGGTTTAACTCTCGAGCTCAGGGCAAAACTTATTCAATTCCTTTTAAATAACATTGATTGTTTTGCTTGGTCCCATTTCGATATGACAGGGATCCCACCAGAGATCACTACCCATCGATTAAGCTTGGACCCAAAGTTCCGTCCAGTAAAGCAAAAGAGAAGGCCCCAATTCGAGGTTAAGCATGCATTCATCAAGGACGAGGTAACCAAACTTCACAAAATAGGGTCCATTCGGGAAGTAAAATACCCCGAATGGTTAGCAAATGTAGTGGTAGTCCCTAAAAAGGGAAATAAACTTAGAATGTGCATAGACTATAAGGACTTGAACAAGGCCTGCCCTAAGGATTCTTTTCCTTTGCTGAATATCGATCGCATGATCGATGCCACGGCCGGCCACGAGATTCTCAGTTTTCTCGACGCCTACTCCGGTTACAATCAAATATAGATGAACCCCGAGGATCAAGAAAAGACTTTGTTCATTACTAAATACGGCACCTATTGTTATAACGTAATGCCGTTCGGACTAAAAATGCTGGTGCAACTTATCTACGCCTAGTAAATCGAATGTTCGAAGAACAAATAGGGAAATCTATGGAAGTTTATATTGATGACATGATAGTTAAGTCCCTGCGAGCAGAGGACCATTTGAAACATTTGCAGGAGACTTTAGATATACTAAGGGGGTACAATATGAAACTCAACCCAGAAAAATGTGCATTCGGGGTCGGGTCGAGCATGTTTCTCGGCTTCATGGTGTCCAATCGGGGGATCGGGATTAACCCCGATAAAATCAAAGCTATCGAGGATATCAAAGTCATGGATAATGTGAAGGCCGTGCAGAGGCTGATCGGGCGCATAGCCGCCCTAGGGCGATTCATCTCGAGGTCCTCAGATAGAAGTCACCAGTTCTTCTTACTTCTTAAGAAGAAGAGTAATTTTGCATGGACCCCGGAGTGCCAACAAGCCTTAGAAGAACTAAAACGATACCTGTCAAGTCTTCCACTGCTTCACACCCCGAATGCGGACGAGCAACTCTACTTATACTTGGCGGTCTCGGAAATAGCGGTAAGTGGGGTCCTAGTTCGAGAAGATCAAGGTATGCAATTCCCTATTTACTATGTTAGTCGGACCTTAGGTGAGGCTGAGACCCGATACCCGCACTTAGAGAAATTAGCGCTTGCTTTAATAAGCGCCTCTGGGAAATTAAAACCATATTTCTAATGTCACACAATATGTGTTGTAACTACCTATCCCCTTTGTACTATTTTTCATAAACGCGAACTTTCGGTGCGATTGGCCAAATGGTCCGTGGAACTCAGCAGGTACGATATTGAGTATCAACCCCGAATAGCCATCAAGTCCCAAATCTTGGCGAACTTCGTGGCTGACTTTACGCCGGCCCTCGTAGTCGAGATCGAAAAGGAACTGTTACTAAAATCAAGCACATCATCGGGGGTGTGGAACCTCTTCACGGATGGTGCTTCGAACGTGAAAGGGTTCGGGCTGGGCATCGTTTTGAAGCCACCCACAGGTAACATAATTAGACAGTCTATCAAAACTACGAAGTTAACTAACAATGAGGTCGAGTATGAGGCCATGATTGCAAGTCTCGAGCTGGCTAAAAGTTTGGGAGAAGAGGTCATCGAGGCCAAATGTGATTCCCTACTTGTGGTAAACCAAGTCAACAGAACTTCCGAAGCCCGAGAAGATCGAATGCAGAGATACTTGGACAAGATACAGGTAACTTTACATCGATTTAAAGAATGGACCTTACAACACATACCTCGGGTACAGAACAGCGAGGCCGATGCCCTTGCAAACTTGGGGTCATCGGTCGAGGATGAAGAACTTAACTCAGGGACTGTCATACAACTCTCGAGATCAGTAATCGAAGAAGGCCACACCGAACTAAACTCTACGAGTTTGAGCTGGGATTGGAGGAACAAGTATATTGAATACCTGAAGAACGTGAAACTCTCAACAGATCCGAAGGAGTCAAGGACTCTACGCACCAAGGCAGCACAGTTCACTTTGGCCGAGGATGGAACGTTATTCAGGAGGATGTTCGATGGGCCTTTGGCGATATGTTTGGGACCAGGAGACACCGACTACGTCCTATGGGAAGTTCACAAAGGCACTTGCGGGAACCACTCCGGTGCCGAATCATTGGTTCACAAAGTCATCAGAGCAGGGTGCTATTAAGCTGATATGGAAAAGGATACAAAAGAGTTTGTTCGAAAGTGCGATAAATGTCAAAGGTACGCTCCAATGATTCACCAGCCCGAGGAGTAGCTCCATTCGGTCTTATCCCCATGGCCATTCATGAAATGGGGAATGGACATCGCCAGCCCTCTACCATCGGCCCCAAGTAAAGCTCAGTTTATTTTATTTATGACTGATTATTTTTCTAAGTGGGTTGAAGCACAGGCTTTCGAGAAAGTCAGAGAAAAAGAAGTCA